TGAAGGACCAGCGCAGGCGGAGGGTGCCCGAGGCGGGGGAGAAGAAGGACCGGCCTGGGAACTTCCAGAGGTCAAGACGTTCATGGACGCGTTTGAGTGCCAGGCAGCGGACTACAATACGTGTGCCTACCAAGGTGATGAGCGCGTCAGGTGGTACAAACCAGGTCGATGGGCTGGGCGGTTGTTGGACCTGAACAGGTTGAGCAAGCAGTGCGCATGTGGTCAGTGGATTCGTCATGAACCCTTAGTCGGAGCCAAGCGCACGTCGTTAGCTGCCCAATATCCGCGAAAGCTTTGTGAGGAGTACTGCAAGCTAGTGGTGACGGCCTTCAAGCACACCCTCCAGCTGGAATACTGGCGACGCAAGTTGACCACCAAGACGGAGGAGGTTTCGGAGCTCAAGAAGAAGTGGCTGTTGAGCAAAGAACGAATCTATCAGGGACCTCCTGAAGGAAGACAAGTTGCAGACCCTTCCAAAAGAGTGTGGGAAGCGGCGCAAGCCTCGCAGGACACTAGGCCGCAGTTGGGGATGTCCAAGAAAGCCAGAAGGGAAGAAGAAAACGATCGCTTCATCGGTGGCATGAGGAACCCGGGACGAGCTGTAGAACGACTCTCGAGGGTTCGGCAGGTGGGCATGGACGTGTCGAGGATTTGGGACAGGTTCATCCACGATTACCCGAAGGCCTTGGACGTCGCCAAGAACTATGGGTCAGAGGCAAACAGACCGGATATGGAGATCGAGATGATGTGGAAGGGAGCTCTGAAGATGTTCTTTCAGACTAGGGCGTTCCCGGACATCATCCTCAAGGACAAGTATGAGTTTGAGTCTCCGCTGGACCCGGAGCTTTGGGACGCATGGTTGCGAGCAGCGGCTGACCCGGAAAAGCACTTGGTGGAGTGGATCCGCAAAGGGGTGCCTCTAGGGATGAGCAAAGAGATACCCTGCTGTGGCATCTTCCCGATGGCGGACGACCCGGAGCTGGACATGGAGGAGATGCCTGAGCTGGCGGATCAGTTGGGAGCAGTCAACTACAAGTCCTTCACGGAGGAGCCGGCGCACGCGAGAGCAGAGCTGAGCAGACTCGTGGAGGAGGGATTCGCAGTGGTGCTCCCGACAGCAAAAGCGCAGGACATGCACAAGAAGGGGATCGTCTCGAAGCTGGCCTTGTTGATCAAGAACAAGGACGACGGGAGTGTCAAAAGGAGGATCATCATCGACCTGCTCAGGTCAGGAGGCAATGCCAGGTGCCGCGTGCCGGAGCGGATCGTCCTGCCCAGGGTGGTGGACGTGATTGATGGCTTCAGGTACTTGTGGAGCACCAGGGACCGCATGAAGAGCAAGTCGAGAGATGAGGAATGGGAATTGGATGAGGATCGACCAGAAGGAGGCATCTTCGATTTTGAGCTGGTGACGGCGGATCTCAGCGATGCCTACTGCCACTTGCCAGTGCACCCCGAGGAACACCCAAATTGCTTGAGCCCAGGATTGCATCAATCTGAAACGCTCATGTGGGTCGCGATGTTATTTGGCTTCAAAGGTGCACCTCTGTTAATGGGCAGGTTTGCAGCGTGTCTGGCACGGATCTGGCAGTCACTGATAGCTCCATCGGAGATGCAGAGCCAACTGTATATGGACGACCCCATGTGGATTCTTCGTGGTCCGACCTCCCGACGGAACAGGAATCTGGCGCTCTTGCTCTACACAGCGAGAGCCCTAGGATTGAACCTGGCGTGGCACAAAGGTTCGCGGGGGTCACAGTTGACCTGGATCGGAGTGATGTTCGAGGTGGTCCAAGCGGAGGCTGTCATTAAGCTCACTGTCCCCAAGAAGATGATGGCTGAGGTTTCGCAAGCGCTGGAAGCCTGGGAGTCGAAAGGGATGGTGAGCTTCAAGGAGGTGCAGCAGCTGACGGGAAGGCTATCATGGATAGCGGGCATCCTTCCGAGATCACGCTGGGCTGTCTCGATCATGTATGCAGTGCTCGCAGATGCCAAGAGGACAGAGCATGAAGAAAAGAAGAGAGCAGCGAAACGAGTCGACCAGCGACCGAAGGTTGGGCTCATTGCAGCCAAACGCTTAGAGCTCCCGAGGCGATGGTTCATCACCTTGTTCAAGGAGCCGGAGGTACTGGCGTTGAGGAAGGAACCAACGGTTGAGCTGCTGCCAGACTATGCCATTGTGACGGATGCGAGCCCTCAGGGAATCGGCGCTCTTCTAGCGACAGTGGATCACACCATGGGGCCTTCCTTCACTATCCTGGAAGGGTTGGAGATCCCGCTTGAGGAGGCCGATGCAAAGTGGCTTGGAGTACCCTGGAAGGAATCAGCATCCCAAGGACCACTGGAAGCATGGGCAGTGAAACTGGCGGTGAAGCGGTGGGCCAACAAACTGGAGGGCAAGAGCATCGTGTTGCGCAGTGACAGCGTGGTGGCCCTCGCTATGACCAAGCGGCTTTCATCCCCCTCCCCGGTGGTGAACTGGGTGGGTGCGGAGCTGGCAATCAGGTTCGAGCGGGCCGGCATCAAGCGAGTGGTGACGCAGCACATCCCGGGCAACTGGAATGTCGAGGCGGACTGGCTTTCACGACCACATGACCGAGGTGAGAAGCCTGAGCGTCTGCAGAAGGTGCCGATCAAGTCTTTCCCAAGGAACTTGATGCACCGATGTTACTTGTCTCCCCCCGGGATTGCACCACAACTTTGGGGTGCGTCGGCCCAGCAGGTCTCAGGAGCCTTCGAGCTGCTTTGAAGGGATGAGGATGAAAAATTTTTCGTCGCTCATTCTCGGCTTGAGGGGCGAGGTCTGAGTAGGTCGGTTGACGGGGGGAGGGGCGCGGGGTCGAGTCGATCCGCAGTCGTGCGTCGATTCTCGAGATGTGAGTGGCAGTGCTCGTGAAAGCGCCGGGAGAGCTCACGATGGCTCAAGTGATGGTAAGGTCCGACCCTGCCGTGGCGGCAGGAGATAGTGCTGCGGAGTGGGCCTTTGGCGAATACGCGGTACTAGCCGGGTGGGCCTTCTTCGGGCTGGGCCTCTTGAAGGGCGTGTGGGAAGCGCTACGTTGGAGCAGCTCTCCGCGGAAACCAGAGAGCGAGGAACAGGCGGAGAGGACACCTACCAGGGTATGCTCTCAATGCGGCAGGCCAAGCGAAGAGGAGCAGCTGAGACGAGAACAATCCCCAAAGAGAGAAAGTTCGAGAAGGCGACAAGTCAGTGGCACGCCAGAGAAGAAACCATCAGAGTGGCCAAACCAGGAATCCCCAGGGAGGTCACCAGAAATTCAGCGGGCAAGAGCACAGATCCTCGAGGCCATGGTTCAGAGGGCTCAACCAGTGGTGCAAGACTTACACGACATGCGCCGCCTTGGTGGAGTGGGACCAGTGCTGCGACGTGGATCCCGCATTCAGTGAGCTCGAGAAGAACGTTGGAGGTCGGGGGCTTTGGCTTCAAGAACCCCTCGAACTGCATGGTGGAGCTAATTCGGAATAGAGTGCACGGAGAAAATCACCATTTTGGTGCCAACAGTCCATCGGAGCAACTGGAGGGGAAGCACCGAGATCAGGGACCCACGCGGGAGGAGCAAAGGGCCAGTGAGAGGTCAACGAAGAAGGGCTCCTTCGATGAGGTCATGGACATCCTGAAGGAAAAGGAGAAACTGGCCAAGGCTAGGCAGGAGTTGAGGAAAGACTTCATGGCCGACTCATCCAGGGCCTCACAGAGAACGAAAAGGGAACAGGTGTTGGCAATGGCCGCGGAAGCACGTGACCCAGGGGCTGAAACTTTTCCACTGAAGACAGAGACGGTGGAGGCAGTGGCAGCGGCGATAAAAGCGGTGGGCTGGACTTCGGGAGATCAGTACATCAACGAGCTGAAGCTGATGCACATCGAGGCTGGATGGGACGTGAGTCAGCAGCTGAGCAGAGCTTTGGCCGACTGCAAACGATCTCTCCGAAGAAATAGAGGCCCAGTGAAGAGGGCGCCGGAGTTCAAGCTGGAAGACATCGAACAGATGAAGTGGATCCTGACGTGTAGAGGTCCGAAGAAGGTGGCGAGGCCGGCCCTAGCATATGCTTGGGCAGTGGTCTGGATGCTGAGAGAGATTGAGGTCAGTGCCATGAAATGGAAGGATGTTTCAGCGGACTGGAGCAAGAGAAGGATTTCCATTGTCATCCCCATCTCGAAGTGCGACCAGCAAGCCCTAGGCGTAAGAAGAACGATGCAATGTTGTGCCTACAGATCCTGCCAAAGATGGTGCCCGTGGAAGGTGTGGGTGGAGCTATGGAGAGCCCTACATGGAGAGCAAAGGGACCCACACGAGTTCATCTTCCAGGACGCCGAAGGCAAGAAATTGTCAAAAGCGAAGATGGTGGAAGGCTGGGCCATGGTGACGACCCCTGACATTCAAGGACATTCTGCACGGCGGTCGGGAGCCATGGGGTATGTGAGACTTGGCATGCCAATCCAGGAGTTAGCATTCCTGGGACGTTGGAAATCCTCCGTGGTGCTCAACTATGCCGAGGATGCCCTACAGACGGAGCCAGCAAACAGAAATTTGAAGCGTGAAGGTGATCACAAACCCAGAAAACAAGAGAAGAAACTGGAAGTCATGTCGAAAGAGGAGCCGAACACGCTTCAGGGACTTCCCGAAGGGCCATCGGAGAGCACAACAGAAGAGAAAGAAGGAGACAGAGGTTCGGAGCAATGCAAAGTAGTGGTCACATCCCTACCCAAAAAGCTGTGGGTCGCCTCGACAGCCTACAGCTCAAGAGAGCGGGTTTGGCATCAAGTAGAAGATGCTGGATGGGATGTGCCGATAGAGGCCTGGACCTCGATTTGCGGGTGGCCGTTCAGCAGGAACTCATCGAAAGTCATCCTCAATTCACAATTGACGGTGGCACAAAGGAAATGCAAGAAATGCCTAAAGCGAACTTGCGGCGGTGCCAGTGAGGATGGTGTGGCAAGTTCAATGAGACCTGCAGTTTGAGAGACTGA